TAACATCTATGTTAAACAACTTTAAAACTTCCATACTTAATAACATAAGAATGCCTAGTAAGATCTACGATAAACAATTTTGAAAAGATCCGTACTTAATAACGTAAGAATGCCTTGTAAGATCTATGATAAACAAATTTTAAAGAATCCATACTTAAGAATGAAAGAATGCTTAGTAAGATTTATGATAAACAACTTTGAAACGTTCGATATTTAATAACGAAAAAATGCTAGTAAGATCTATGATAAATAACTTTGAAAAGTTCGAATATTACTTAAATTCCTAGTAAGATATGTTTTAAGCAACTTCGAAAAGATCAGTACTTAATAATGTAAGAATGCCTAGTAAGATCTATGATAAACAATTTTGAAAAATTTCGTTCTTAATTACTTAAGAATACTTAGTAAGATCTATGATAAACAACTTTGAAACGCTACGTACTTAATAACGTAAGAATGCATAGTAATATCTATGCTAAACAACTTTGAAAAGATCCGTTCTTAATAACATAATGTTGCGTCAGCGAGGTCACATGACTAGTATCACTCCACGTCCTTCTAGAAATATCCTGTTCCTTCATGAATGCTCTAGCGTTTACTAGATATATGTTAGTCTTGTATATATAAGACGGTCACAACTTGACGGGAACAATGAGTAATTGAACTGCAGTCAGAGAGAATATTGTTGAGCACGTGAGAAGTTCATTGTGAATTATAGCGTTTGTTATAGAGCGACTGTTGAATTAAGTGTATCGCAAAGTTGTATTCAGAGAGAATAAACCAGTTTTATTTAAGAAAGGACTTGTGTCGCTAATGTTTCGTCGGTACGAATTTACGGAAAATTAACTAACGAACGGAGACGTAACAGTAAGAATGCTTTGGCTTAGCAAAACATTGTTTTATTATTGCATTGCCACATCCATTTTACTCTCATAAAATCTGTTATCAGTATTATTACAGCCATGTTACTCTCATAAAATCTGTTATCTGTATTATTACAGCCATGTTACTCTCATAAAATCT